AAAAAAAAAAAAAAAAAAAAAAAAAGATTAGGAGATATTTAGATTCTTTGGTGACCAGATAGCTGGAGCTGAAAATGCTGTTTAGGGGACCCAAGGCCAGACGACTGTACAAAACACCTTTAAGTCTACTGGGCTTGTTTTGGCCCTTGTATTTCCCTGGATGGTGCAGTAGAAGTGGGTAAGTGAGATTTTTTTCTGCTTAGCAAAGCCATGTAAATGTATTTTATTGGGAGTATCTTGGTGGGTATTATTTTCTGAGGGTGAATAGTTTTATTGGGGTTTTGAGCAGTTCTAGATAGAGCTGGAAGAGTAGAAGGAAGAGAAAGGGCTATAGGTTGGGGTGGTGAGGGCCTTCTTCCAGCAGGTGGCTGGTGGTCTGCTCTGGAGAGGCTGCATTCCCTACATTCCTAGCATTTCTGGGATATATCAAGAAAAGAGGGGGGGATTTTTTTAGAGGTATAGGGGAGCTTTGGGTTATTAGAAGAGCCTAGCTCTTGAAACCTCAAATTTCTTAAGAAGGAGGGAGAAAGGCAGGGACACCACAGTAGCTCATTGCCTTGGCATTCTTAGCCACAAAGTAGATCACACGTCACGGTTTGAGAAGCAGGTAGATAACTACCTGAAATCTCTCAATAGCTCTTTCTCCCTGCCGCTTCTGTTACATGGATGATAACTCTTCCTCTGTCTCCTGAACAACCTGGACCTCCCTATGTCCCTTACACCTCCCACCTCCCAGTGATGCTGTTTCTCTGTCCCAGGCTATGGCTTTGTAGATTTTGACAGCCCTTCAGCAGCACAGAAAGCTGTAACAGCACTGAAGGCCAGCGGTGTACAGGCACAGATGGCAAAGGTAAGGGTATTCCCCCATGTCTGTTCCTCCAAGGGGTTTATGGTTAGCACCAAAGTTCCAGTTCTAAGGTTTCCAGAGGGCTTAGGAACCATGAAATTGAGTGGGAAAGTGCTATCCACAGTGCTTTCTAGACAGTCCATGAGTACTCCTGGCTGCTAGAGGAAGATGTATTCAAAGTCTATGGCAAGTAGCTCTGTCAACTCTGTTCCTCTCACCAAGCTACTGGCAGCAAGAAAGAGGGTAAGGTGGCCTCTTCCAGTACTCCTGCTGCTTCCCTATTTTCCCTGTATTATTCACCCTGGCCCCACTTCCCTACCAGACAGCTTGTGGTGGTTTTGCAACATTCTCTGAACAAGTCAATTGTGCAACTCAGAAGTTCAGAACAATGCTCTCCACCTCCCAGTGTTGTTCCCCATAGGGGCCAGGGTAGTGGGCTGGGGAGGCAGGAGGGAAGCCACATCAAGGGAGGAAACTGTCCCTTCTCCTCAGATCTCTCTGAAACTGTTGTCTTCACCTGGCTACCAGAAATCTAAAAGCTTTTTTCTCTCACTTCTTCTGTTAGGTGGGATTGTCCCCTTGCCTTTCTGAAGCTGTACTATACATGGAGCTTGTGAGGCAAGCCTGCCAGCCACCTTTTCTGTAATGGTTAAAGAAAAAGGAAACGAAAGGAAAAGGCAGATGGGGATTAAGGTTGCTGGTGACCACTGTTTATGGCAGAGTGACTGCTTAAATTCTTAAAAATACAGCTATTGGATTATATTGCCATTTTGCACATTCAGTCCTCTGGAAGGGCTCTCCTACCTCTTCCAGGAGCAAAACCCTCTGACAAAAGCTCAAAGATTTAGGAGCCTTCAGGGTTCCTAGGAGACTGTAGCTTTCAGGGCTCCATGGTGACCCAGTGAACTCCACATCTGCCTCTTTCCCTGTCCCTCTCCCCTCTTCCTGCTCTTCCTCCATCAGGGAGTGAACAGGCATTCCTACTTAGAGGATTCTGCGTGGCCGGAAGAGAAGGGGGAGGGGCTGCTCAAAACAAGCCAGCCAAGGAGCAAGGCAGCGCGCAGGGGAACCCAGCCTCAGGACGGCTGCTGGGGGAGAGCGGGAATGCTGCTCTGCCTGTTTCTTTCTTTCTTTCTTTCTTCTTTTTTTTAATAAACTGTATCAGCTACACAGCCTGTTTCTTAAAGAGACAGCCGGCCGGGCGAAATGGCTCATGCCTGTAATTTCAACACTTTGGGAGGCCGGTCGAATCACAAGGTCAAGAAATTGAAACCATCCTAGCCAACATGGTGAGACCTGGCTCTACTAAAAATACAAAAATTAGCCAGGCCTGGTGGCACACGTCTGTAGTCCCAGCTACTCAGGAGGCTAAGGCAGGAGAATCGCTTGAACCCGGGAGGCGGAGGTTGCAGTAAGCCGAGATTGCGTCATTGCGCTCCAGTCTGGCAACAGAGCAAGACTCTGTCTCCAGAAAAAAAAAAAGAGCCAAACACCATTCGTGACTTGTATGACGAGCTTGTATAGTACTAGAAATATAAAATCTGCGCTTTTCCCTCCTGGAACTCAATATACACCCGTTGTAGTCGGACTGGGTGTTAACGGATAGGATAATCTTTGTTTATGTGGGACCCTTCCTCTAGTCTCTTTTCTGAAATGTCATTTTGTGAGGAGGGCTGAGGGTGGGAGAGGGATAGCCTCATTTTCTCACTGTTATTTCCATAGCAACAGGAACAGGACCCCACAAATTTATACATCTCAAACCTCCCACTGTCAATGGATGAGCAGGAACTGGAGGGGATGCTGAAGCCCTTTGGCCAGGTTATCTCCACCCGTATCCTTCGAGACACCAGTGGGACCAGCAGAGGGGTTGGCTTTGCAAGGTGAGGAAGGCAGGAGTGGGGAAATGATGAGGTTAATAACGAATGTCACTTAGGGGTCACCAAAACACAAAATCTGTGCCTCTTCCCACACAATGTCAAAATACTTGACTATTAGTCAAAAGTACTTGACGATAAGTCCAGAGTTCATTTTAGGCCGGGCGCGGTGGCTCACGCCTATAATCCCAACACTTTGGTAGGCCAAGGCAGGCACATCACCTAAGGTCAGGAGTTTGACACCAGCCTGGCCAATATGGTAAAACCCCATCTCTACTAAAAATACAAAAATTAGCCAGGTGTGATGGTGGGCGTCTGTAATCCCAATTACTTGGGAGGCTGAGGCAGGAGAATTGCCTGAACCTGGGAGGCGGAGGTTGCAGTGAGCCAAGATCACACCACTGCACTCCA